ATTGATAATGAGCTTTACCAATATCTTCAGCGCACTACCCCTGAAAGCAGCAACTCTCACTGCGACTCGTGTCTAAAATTGGTCCGCGACAAGGAACTGCTGACGAACCCTTTCAACGTACATACTGCTTCCGCGCAAGCCGTCTCTAACTCGGACAGCGAGACACCTAGCTCCTCAGTGTGTCTGCTCACGTCTGGGTATTCTATACCGAAAGGGAAAAGAAGCCGAGCCTCCACCATGTTGGACTTAACACCGCGGCTCACTGAGAACGGGAATAGACTGATGTATAGACCCAAGTCGTATTCTGCAGTCACGAGCTCTAGCACCGCGGCAAAAACGAGGACAACCACGGCTGAGAACAAGGCCTCGAAGAAGATCTCACTACCCAAGATAAACTCAACACCAAAAACATGGAACTAAAGCTCGTCTTAAATAGAGTAGCGCAGCTTTAGGAACGTGTCAGAGAAAAGAAATGCCCACCAAAGCCAGCAACACCGGAACGAGACAAGCCACCTGCTCGCAACCGCTGCTAATAATCACAACCGTCCCAGAATCCAACAAAGAGACTCCAGCTGAAAGGATACTCGACGACCAAGCCTTCCTAAAAACGAATGGTCTCCATCTTATTTGATGAGCACGAGCAAGGAATGAACCTAATCTCTGCTTTTCGATTTGGCCGAAAACAAGTGGACCCAGCCAAGTTTCGTCCTCTGAAAATCGTCTGGCAGGATGAAAAGAATGCCAACGCATCCTGAGACGGACCCGGCGCCTCAAAGGAGAACCCTCTTACGTTCTGAAAGACCTCTCCCCGGAGGACCGAGTCCGAATGAGGCAAGCTGTCTGCGAGCTGTGAACCCGACACGCAAATGGAGAAACAGCTCTACACATAGTGGATTTTCGTGTAGTCAAAAGAACTCAGAGAGCTCGATGGAGGCCAGTTCTCCCTTTTCCAGGACCTCAAACATAAAGAACGGCCTACGGGTAATAGTTGCGTATGTGCGCATTCTCAGAAACAAGCTGGATGAGATTCCACTCCTTATCTCTGAACAGCAACTGGACCTAATGGCGTTCACCGAAACCTGGCTGTCATCTGATATATCTGACTCGGAGGTTCATGTCTCAGGATATCAGCTACTTCGACTCGATCGCCTTGGTGGGAGGTCTAGAGGCGGAGTAATCCTCTACACAAAGAACCACCTCAAAACCCACATTTTCGAACCGGATTGCGACAAGTATGATATGTCGGAAATGCTCTTGTGTCGAATTCATGACGGATACCAATCGCCGATGGTCGGCCTAGACTACAGAGCACCTGCAGCATACGGTTCACTCCCATTACATTCCGTGCGAACCCACAGCAGAGGGACAAACAATCTCCTTATGGGTGACTTCAACGCCCCGACATAAGCCGGGACCTTCTTCCCAGTGAGCTCTCACCTGACTCTTTTGAAGCTGGTCTCTTTGATACCGTTCACGAGTGCAACCTGACACAGCATGTCTTGACACCAACGCGGATAGTCACTGGTCAGACACCAAACATTCTCGACCTGGTTCTCACTTCGGCACCATCTGATGTTTCAGACCTAACGATGCTTCAACCTCTTGGGAAGAGTGATCACTGTACAGTCTCCTTCTCGTGGACACGACGCCTCACAATCCACGATCAGGGGACACTGCGTCGAAATTTCTGGCGCACTGACCAGCCCATATTAAGAACTACTGCAAGTAACATGGACTGGAGATATTCCACAATCCTTGGAGCTTGATGACGCATGGGAACGCCTGCGATCTATGATGATGCGGCCCAGTGAACAGTTGGTTCCAAACTGCAAGAGCAGACCACCATCCAAAGGACCCCATGGCTTGCTAAAGAAGTAAGATCCCTGATGAAAAAACGGCGAAAACGATGGGATCATTTCAAGAGCACAGGGCTGACATCAAGCTACTTAGGGTACAAAATTGTCAGAAATCTATGCATCCTGAGAAAACGAGAAAAAGGACTATAATATGAACATGTATTGGCCATGGAATCCCAAAACTGTCCCAAGAAACTTTTTGCCTACTTGAAGCGAAATGCCAAAACTGGTAGTGGAATCCTCGCTCTATCCTCTCCTAAGGAAGGTACCGTTCTCTACGGCGATGATGAAAAAGCAACCCTATTGGCTGCGCAACATTCTTCGGTCTACTCAGTGGAGTCACCACTGCTCAACAACTGTTGGCCTGCACACTACTGCTCTATTGATCAAGTTGAAATTAACTCCAAAGTAGTCGCGAAGCTACTCCTCGAACTGGACCCGAACTCCTCCCAAGACCCGGACGAATTGCACCCCAGCTTCCTCAGAACTATAGCCGAGTACGTCGTCGCCCTTCCCTGCCAAGTGGTTCGGCAATCCCTCGAAGTCCGCTGCCTACCCACAGGCTTGAAAGCAGGTACCGCCCTGCCCAAATACAAGGGGGAGACCAACAAGTCCCATCCAACTACCGGCCAATATGTCTGACCTCAGTCGTGTGCAAAACCATGGAACGAATTGTCAAGTGCGCCCTCCAGCTACACTGTACGAATCTTAACCATATCTCACCTGCTCTACATGGTTTCCGGAGAGCACGCTCATGCACTTCCAACTTACTCATCGCCAGGGAAACATGGGCAGAAGCCATAGATGCCCGAAAACAGGTGGACGTAATATTCCTTGACTTCAGCAAAGCCTTTGATAAGGTTTCGCACGTTCGCCTGCTACATAAACTCCAGGGAATTGGCATTGCAGGAAATCCGCTCTCCTGGGTTGCCGACTTCTTAAGAGGTAGGACAATGCACGTACAAGTGAATCAAACCCTCTCTACTCCAGTGCCTATGACTGGTGGTATTCCCTAAGGCTCAGTACTTGGACCGGAGCTCCTCCAACTGTACGTTAACGATCTGCCGACAGCACTTCAAACCGTTTGCTTGATCTATGCCGAGGACCTCAAGCTATGGTCAACAGTCTCCAGCACTGCGGTTGCGGACAGATTACTAGAGACTCTAGACCAACTACATGGATGCTCCATCAAGTGGGAACTGCCAGTACACCGAGATAACTGCGCTGTTCTCCAAATGGGTAGCACTGAACCGTACGGTGCACACCATATTGGTGGGTTTCTCCTAAGAAATACCACCCACCAGAGAGATCTCGGGGTTATCGGGACTCCTGAGCTTAGAGTGACGCAGGACACGTTGCAGAAGGTGGCCACTGGAAGGAGACTGGTGGGTTCCATAAGAAGATCATTCGCTCGAATGACTCCTGAGATTGTTCGACCTCTGTTCACTTCGTTCGTCCGTCCAGTCTTAGAATATAGCCTTCCAGCTAGCCATCCGCTTTCAAAGTCCGAATGCGCTCTGCTGGTAAAGGTTCAGAGACGTGCAGCGAATGCTGTCTGGGGCTTCGTGATCTCCCGTACTCCATTCGACTCCAGCAGCTACATCTGTTCTCCCTCGAGCTCCGCCGTTGCCGGGTTGATCTCATTTACACTAGGCGCATCCTCCGAGGGGAACTTGAGAGTAAGGTACAACAATTCTTCAAGCCCAACGCCGACTGTTCCACACGAGGTCACACATGGAAGCTGTTTAAACAAAGAAGACACGGAATTCGCATGGATGTCCCCCTATCCACTAGCGTGGTGAATGATTGGAACTGCCTACCGGAAGAAATTGCAGACGCTCCATCCGAAGAAAGTTTCAAGCGGCTGACAGACAAACATTCGCTGAGAATGCTGGAACCTTGCGGTTGTCACTGCTATTGCGACGATCCCTCGAGGAACGTCGTAATGCAACGACACGCATCAAACCCAGTATGATACGGAATCGGTGGGGCAGACGAGGGATTTCCATCCTTCTCTCTACAACAATGAACTTAAAGAACAATGAAAAAATCGCTTACCGTACCTCCGGGCATTCGAAGCTGTGGCAAGCAATTACTCCTGCTTGTAGCGCACTAAAACACAGTTATAAAAATAAATATGTAGATGACAGTCGAGAGGTCATTTGCATCACTCCAGTGCAACCAAGCATCTAAACGACGCTATCTCTAAAGTACCCTGCTGGTAATGCGAATACCGATCGGATTAGGGCGGAAATCCGGCTGTCACGCCGAGTTATCGACCGCAGGAACATGCTTCCGGAAAGTGTTATCAGGGAATCCACGGTTAAGGGGTTTGAGCGGCAACTTGACGCTCTTGGGTGGCAACACGAAACCTTTCCATTTTCCTGAGTAACTCACATCTTCGTACTTCGATTTTCTTTTCTCTACTTTTCTTCACGTATTGGTATTATTTTCTTATTTAAGTGCACTTCCCTATTCTGTACCTTCGATTTCTCTTCCTATCCTTTGCTTACTTCACGTGACTGCCACAGCAGGGACTGCTAGGGTAGGAAACGTGGGCATTAACTGGTTGGCCAGGGTGCGATACGGGTGTTTCCGTTTTAGATCCATCAATAACTGAGCACTTCATCAATTCCTGGCTCAACGATCCACTCAAGATGGAACACTCACGGGATTTTCCTATCGTTCCAGTCCCCATCTGAACTGAACTGAACTGAACCGGGCAGCCTCGCCAGGAGGTGTAACAAAGGCAACCCTCCATCCATCTCCGGAGCGTCCAATCCGCAACTTGGAAATAATGTTTTTTCGGCAGTGTGATTCCGGTACACACGGTTGTATGTGTTAGGAATAAATTTTAGGCTTTTGAACCTATAGTAATGTTTATAATTAATGCAGGATGCTTGTTGAAATACATACCGCGGACTTCCTAAACCATTTTCTGTATTCCATTTACTTTTTAACAACACACTTACTTTATATTTCAACATTTTACTTTTATTCAACTTTGCAAATTGGGAATGGTACATATCAATTTTGGGTATTTGGAGATACTGACCTCTTTACAAACACGTTGCGCAAGAAGTTTACACAAAAACCTCTACTTTTTGAGAACGTGGAAACCGGTTGTCCTAATGAACAACAGCATGCATTCAAAATCGCGCCAGTGGCGGATAGGACGGTCCCATCCATCGCTGACTTACTTGGTGCTTGATCATACGCCTACGAAGTATCTTACCTTTCAGCCCCATTGGTATATTACGATCCACGTACGCCCTGACCACGGAAGCCCTCGGAATTCGCAACCGAACGCATACTACAATCCCTGACCGGCACTTCTTGAGTATGACTTCGAAGCTTCCGGGCGCCAAGTATTCTGACCTCCCAAGAGTGAAGCGAGTATCGCTTCATTTAGATGCCCATTCCAAGAAACGTCGCAAAAGTATATATTAGACCGTAATGTTTACTTTTGTTTTGTGACTTATTGATATGTGCTTGGTTTACGTCATCAGTAATCATCTGCAACAGCAGTACACCAGCTATTTAGACTGCTGCTTCGCTGATATAGATCTGGAGATTCCCCCTTGCGCTATACTGCCATACAACCATGATGACCTAAGAAGTAAAGAATAGTAAGAGATAGATGGGGATGAAAGCCTTATCACAATTACCACAAAAATCCTGCTACTCGCCAGTAATATAAATTAAAAGATAGCCTCCTAGTTTCAGGATGCTATGGATATAGCGTCTAGCGAGAGAAGTCATCACCTCGCATGCTAACCACTGTCAGTGTCAGTGGAACATAGGTGGTGCTATAGCCCAGTTAGTTTGCAAATTATGTAATGCAGCCAACTTCGGGTAGTCCAATCCACCCCGGAGGAACGCAACGCGCTGTTGCGGTTTGCCTTCAAATTGAAGGGTACTAATTTTCGCGTTCAGCCAGACCTCCCATTAGCGGATAGGCTGAAGCTAAAAGAGGCCATTAAGGACCTCAAAACCAGGCGAGCGGCCGGTGAACAAGGTCTCCGGTTGGTGGGTTTTCGGGTGGTCAGCCGGCGGTATGTTTCCGCCCTACCAGTGCCAGTACTGGTAGTGCACGACCCAGGGCTGGACATTTACCTTCAGATAGTGCTAAGCAATGTGCGGAGCCTAAGGAATAAGATGTGCGAGATAGGTCTGCTTGTAGAAAGGTCTCATCCCGATATACTTGCATTCACTGAAATGTGGCTGTTTCGGGACATCACGGACGGTGAAGTACATCTGTCTGGCTACGCACTATTTAGATGTGGTCGCTTCGTTGGCCGACAAGGCGGGGGCGTTGCTATTTACGTTAGGTGTGAACTTGACGTTACGCGCACCTACATGTTTCAGTCGGCAGATAAAACTATCGAAGCGCTGTCGGTAGTGATTAACACTTCCTCAGCTCAACTTACAGTCGTACTTGTGTATAGAAGCCCTGTGAGTGCGTCCAAAGAGGTGCTTGACTTTATTCGCTCCCAATCCGCAAACAGGTGTTTGATACTGGGGGATTTCAATCTACCAGAAGTTTGCTTGGCGGATCTTTCTTGCAACTGATCAGAAGGTACTTTCGGGGCAGATCTACTTGAGCTTACGCTACAAGTACCGTTGCATCAGTTCGTGGACCTCCCCACTAGGTACATGGACGCCCAACTCCCGTCTATTTTGGATCTAGTGTTTGCCAAGTCACTAGATTTCGTAGGCGACATCACTTACAGCTCTCCATTAGGTGCTAGTGATCATGTTTGTTTATCGTTCAGGTGTAATCTGACTAGGCGTCACCAGAGCATTGCTAAGCCATTTCCAAACATATGGCATGCTAACTATCAGGCAATGCGTACCAAGGCTGCTGGGATGCGTTGCGAAATCTCGGTGGTTGATACGGTTCAGGCGGCCTGGGATAAATTTAAATCTTATCTCACGGAAGTGTCTACTCCCTACATCCCGCTTGCGAGGAGTAAGGAGACACGGGCGCGGCCGCCGTGGATAGATACCACTGGCAAGCACTTGCTCCAGAAGCGTTCTAGGTGCTGGAGGACCTACCGTGCGGCTCCATCAACTAGCACCTATGATAGATACCGCGAGGCTATAAATAGGTGTAAACAACACTTAAGGAAAGCTCGGCTGGTGTACGAAAAGGAATTGGCTGATGGAGCTTCGGAAAATCCGAAGAAGTTCTTCGCTTATGTTAAGAGACGCTTTGGTTCAACTTCGGTAATCCCAACTTTGATGCGGGCCGATGGAACTCGTGCGTATGCGGACTCAGATAAGGCTCGTGTACTTGGGGAACAGTATGCAGGGACTTTTGTACGTGAGGCCGCGTTTTCTTCAAACATAAACTTCATCCTGCATCGGCCGTCGCGCAGATTATCAAGGGTCGCCTTATCTGCTGCATACAGCAGGGCGGATAAGCGAAAGCATGCTACTGCTGGCGCCTCCCTTCTTTCTTTTCCACCTTTTTCTCTTACTCCCATCCCGGCCCCCATTACTAACCTTCCTTCTCTAATTCCCAGCTTAATTGACAGCAACCGAAGTGCTACTGGAGTAGAACCATCTGCAGCCACCATCCCACAGCACCTATCGGCAAAAGTTCCTTATAAGGCCACGCTGTCCCGTTTCCATGGCGACATTCAACGTCCGCACTCTAAGACAAACAGGTCAGCAGGCTGCACTCGCACGCACCTTGGACACACTGGGTGTTGATGTGTGTTGTGTGTCCGAAACTAGGATTAATAACCCTAACGGGGTTATTGAATTAACTGCACCCGGCTTATCCTCTCGTTATTGGTTGCACGCATCCGGAGACGCCGATGCGGCACTCACGGGTCAAGCTGGTGTAGGTATCATTCTCAGCTCCAAGGCTGAGTCATCGCTGGTTGATTGGATTCCGGTGAACAGCCGTTTATGTGCAGCCCGTTTGACGACATCAGCTAAGGTGAATTCGCGAAGTAAAACAAAACGCTGTTTGTTTGTGATTTCTGCTTATGCTCCCACGGACTGCAGTTCTAATGCAGTCAAGGACACTTTCTATCACGAACTGAACACGCTGCTACGCAGTGCTACTAGTTCAGATATTATAGTACTTGCAGGGGATATGAACGCACAAGTAGGGCGTCTGAGCTCTTCAGAAGGTCAGCTGGGTGGTAAGTATGGACTTAACGCCGAACGGACTGACAACGGCGAGCGTCTGCTGCAACTGTGTGCGGAGCACCAGTTGTTTCTTACTAGCACTGCTTTTAGACACAGTGGGCGCCGAAGTGCCACTTGGCGTCCACCTGTAGCTGGTCAGCGATGGACCCAAATTGACCACATAGCCATAAGTTACAGGTGGCGCGGTTCCATTCTGGATTGCCGCTCGTACTGGAGTACCTGTGTCGACTCTGACCATGCCTTGGTGCGCTGTCGTTTCTCCATGAACTTTACCGGAAGGCGCACAAAGCGTCTCCCCCGATTGGCAACGGAGAAATTGTCCCAGCCCTCTGTCAGGTAAGCCTATCAAGAAGCACTGCATAGCGAACTCTCGCTGTCTTGTCCTAATGATACTGAACTTCAGTGGAATAGGATCTCGGCCACTATGCACGACGCAGGAGCATCTGCTTGTGGCACTATCAGTCGTCATCCCACCAGTCACTGGATATCCGAGAGGTCCGTGGACCTTTTGGATGCTAGAAGGCACCTCCCGGCTGGTTCTGAACACAATGTGACCAGACGGGCTATTAGGCGTGAACTAAAGCGGAGCCTACGTGCTGACAAGGAAGCCTGGTGGACCAGTCGGGCTCAAGAAATGGAGGAGGCAGGAGCAGTAGGCAATTACCGGAAGCTCTTCCAGCTAATACGCACCACTGGTCCGAGAAAACCAGGCGTCAGTGAGACAATCAGGGACAGCGCGGGTGCGCTGATACACAATAAGGAGCGCCGTATGGCTCGTTGGGCTGAGCACTTTGAACATCAGTTCAGCTGGCCCCCTGCTCCCGGACCTCTTCCTATTCAGGTGATGCAGGACGAGCCATGGACGGTTAGTTTAGAGCCTCCGTCGGAGGCCGAGGTCCGAAACGCGATCACAGCCCTCAATCGTTTTCGTGCCGCTGGCCCGGATTCCCTCCCACCTGCACTATTTAAGGATGAAGGTGAGGTCCTCTGCAAAGCACTGACCTCCCTATTCGAACGTATCTGGAACGAAGAGAGTGTGCCGGCTAATTGGAGCGAATCGATTATAGTGGCAATATACAAGAAGGGCAGTCGCACAGACTGTGCGAACCACAGGGGTATTAGCCTAACGCCAGTTGTGACAAAATTACTGGTCTCGATTATCGTACGTCGCCTCACTGCAGAACGGGAATCTCAGATTAGAGAAGAGCAGGCCGGTTTTCGCCCAGGACGTGGCTGTATAGACCATATATTTACTTTGCGGCAGGTGCTAGAGCAGCGCCACGCATACCGCAGACCGACAATAGCTGTGTTCCTCGATTTTCAGAGTGCGTTCGATTCAGTCGATCGATCGATTCTGTTCGAAATACTTGCGCGGAAAGGTGTTCCCACGAAATATTTGAACATCCTTCGTGCTCTATACTCGAACACTAGAGGCCGCGTCAGGGTCTATGGTGCCCTATCGGATAGCTTTTCGACTACAAGTGGCGTTCGACAGGGTTGCCCGATTTCCCCATTTTTGTTCAATTTCGTCGTGGATTCTATCATCGAGTGTTCCCTTGCGGAATCTCACGATGTAGGTGTTGAAGTGCTGCCTGGTGAACGGTTAGTTGATCTAGATTATGCGGACGATATCGTCTTGCTTTTCGACAATGTTGAGGCGGCACAATCAACCCTGAATAGCCTATCCAGAGTGGTCCCATTATTTGGCATGCACTTCGCACCTTCAAAGTGCAAAGTGTTGCTGCAGGACCACCAGCCACTTGATGACCCCTTGACGCTTGCTAACGAGGAACTCGAGGTGGTTGATCAATTCACTTATCTTGGCAGCTGCATCAGCAATGATGGGCGCATAGAAACTGACGTGAGCTCACGCATTGCAAAGGCTAGAGCTGCCTTCTTGAACCTGCGGTCGCTTTGGCGACAGAAGGGAGTTTCCCTCCGTCTGAAAGGCCGTGTATACAAGGCCACAGTGAGGGCCGTTCTGCTCTATGGTAGTGAGACTTGGCCCCTTCGGTCTGAAGATCTGAGGCGCCTTCAAGTCTTTGATCATCGTTGTTTGCGAAGCATTGCTGGTGTCGGATGGCACCAGCGTGTCCGCAACGATGATGTGCGTAGGCGAGTACTAGGTGGTGATGATCATGCTAGCTCCCTAGAACAACAGATAGCACTGAATAAGTTACGTTGGCTCGGGCACGTGCTACGCATGCTTGGTTCACCGCTTACCTAGGAGGGCCTTGTTCAGTCTACCAGGTGTCGGATGGCGCAAGGCTCGAG